ACTAATTTGTCAGCATTCTGCTTTCCTTCCTCTTTTCAGGGTCCTTTTGAAAATATTTTGGCCAGAACAGGCCATTTTTCCAAGCTGTTTTTTTTCCTTACACAGTACGCAAGCTCAGACTGCAATGATCTTTTTTGGTAAAACACCTTAATTTCTGATAGTTATTTATCCAGAATAATCTCCAAATCCTTTTGAAGATGACAAGGCAAATTTTATGGGAAAAGCAATACTGGTTTTTTTTTTTTTTTTTTAGATTTGCCCAAGTGTTGAGGGCTGGAGGACAAGAAAAGTATGAGGGGAAAGAAAACCCTTGAGCATTAGAAAAAAAAATACCACTCCTCGTGATTCTTGGTTTGCTATACTTTTACACTATAGCTGAAAGATTACTTCAAAATCACCGCATTCCAAAATACAACCCCCCATACAGGCAGTACAGCCTATAGCTTACATTCTTTCTAATTATATTTAGAATTTCAAGTTCAAAATTTAGGTTTAAAAATAAAGCACATATCACGTCTCAAGATACTGCTTTTAGCCAGGAACTAAAAAGATGTCACCTGCTTACACTAGAAAGCAATTCTGCCAAATCAGTTTCACTGATGAAGATGCAACCTTTATGATCAGCCAGCTATCATCCAAGAACTCTGTATTTTACTACTTGATATTGTCTTGCTTTTCCATTTACAGGACTAACATCCAGATGGCACACCAAGTTATTCAACCAATCTTGTCTCAAGATCTAAGTCTCAAGTTACCATAGGGAGAAAATTCTTAAATAAATACGGAAGTCTGGCCTCAAGATTAAAATGTGAATTTTTTATAACATTGTGATGATGTTAAATGGAAAGTCTGCAAGGCAAACTCAACAAGCAGGTGACAGTGAAGTTACCTGTGTGTGATGAAAATAAAATGAGAATCTTCAGTGTTATTACACAATAGTCATTAAGCCTCATATATTAAACAAATGTACATGCAGGATAGTAAATGAAGTGGCAAACATTTTTAAATAACATCTTTAATTAAAGTTTTTGCAAAGGCAAAATATTAAACTTAAAATAGGTCTTAGTACATCAAAATACTAAGTTCTCTAATTGTATCCCAAGCATGGCCTTTGAAACATAATATCCTGTATATCACAGAGGAGCAACCTTGATCTGCAATTGTACAGAATGAATTTTACAAACATAATAAATATATTTACCCCCTTACACATAACAGTATATGTACAACAGCAGTTGACAATAGTAGCTCAGAACAGCAAAAAAGGATATTCCCCCACTCCATAATCTATTGGTACCCTATGCACTCTGGAACATGTCTCATTGGATGACTGTACATATAGCTAACCCACGGTAGTTCTTCCTGTTAAAAAAAGCTCCTTTTGTTCCACAACGTCTAATCCACCGAATAATAATTGAAAGACACACTGCATGAACTGCCTGAAAAAAGTAGACAACAGGGAAACCAATAGACTGGTTTTTACACATTTCCCAACCAATCAAAGCAATGGGAAAATGAGACTTTAAATGCCAGACACCAATACATAACAATATGCAAGTTTCTTCATCTTGTATAGTCACTAATCTCAAAGTCTGAAAAGAACTCTAATTTCAGTTGGGGGTGCGTGGTTGGGGTGGGGTGGCACACAGTAAACCCCACGATGCTGTGTAAGGCAGCCCAGTACCAATCCAGTGTGCATTATCCTAAACCCACTGTTCACTTCCTAGACATCTTACTGCATTCTATTAGGAAGCTTTTGCTTCGGGGGAAATTTGGGGGGCTTTATTGTTTTTAAAGGAGCTTTTACAAATTGAAGAGATTGAATCAAAATGAACTTTAGTTAACAAGGTCTTTAACTCCTTCACTGGAATTACAAAATTTTTCTCTGGTAGTGTTATATGGTGACATAATTACTGCTAACTGTCAAGCGGTGGAATTATTTTCACAGACTCAATGAAGTTTACTTTAACACTCCTAACTGTGCAGCAGAAATAGAAAAAACATTTATTAAAAAAAAAATCTATTACATGACACAACACGTTCTTTGCTCTTTTCTAGAAACTGTGCTTCAGAATCACGTATCATATTCTTGGAAATAAACTCGGACCACAATTATCAGTTTAAATTGTGTTTAGGAAACCGAATGATGTTCAAATGCAACTTGGGAGTACAATGCAGGAACAAGGAGTATGAACCCTCAAAGAATCTCGTCACTAACCAGCAACTGAAGGGGAATAAAAACATATTTTATTTAAATAGTCCAATATAAAGTTCCTTACGTGACTAAATTCTCTATTATCTCTGTAACAGAAAACATATTAATTTGTTTTCAACTTAGATGTTTTAAAATGATTGCACACACTAAAACCCAACAGAATTAGAGAAAAAAAGTTGCTTTTCTGATTGAAGCACTGCAGGAAATTTACTCTCTCGGGAATAAAAAAAAAAGTATTGTCATACTGGCAAAACAGGTATTCTGCAAACTGAAAAGGCACAAGACTCCCAATTTTGCCCAGTTGCTCTGCAAGTTTTCATCAGCCATCATGGTTATAATTATGAAGTTATCTTTCCCCATTTTTTCCATCAGGATAAAGGTGCTCCATTATCTGTGCAAATTTTAACATAAGCCCTCTTGAAATCATTAATTGTTTCCATAATACTGTAAA